GTTTACAGGTTAAAGTGGCAGGCCCCTACAGTCACTTTGATCGGCCCTTGTGAAGAGTGTGGCCTAGCAGAGTGACTTTATAAGCATACAGACTATTGATGCAAATTGGACAACTAGAGCCTTCTTCATCCTGATTTATCCAATGTAAACTTCAAAAATTTAGATTTGATTTTAGAGGTTCTAAAATATTAGTTTTCAAATGTATCATATGAAAAGAAAAACAATCCAAATGACAAGGGATGTAAAGAAACGACATCATACCGTTAAAAGTTATTGTAACTATACAAAAGTGTCTACAGGAAACAAAACACTATCACCAATATGAAATTTTATTGAGGGGATTTGAAACATGAACTCAGTTACTCTTAATTTTAATGGACCAACAAAAATATTTATTGCTACATACCATGTGTATGTACAACTTTGAATCTACCTCTCACCTTTTTAACTGCCACAGATAGGCAATGGATCAGTGCAAATTGATGATCTTACATTAAATTGTATATTAGAGAAAAATCGTAAGACTCTCCATTTATTGTAATTGTGTTAGTGTAGTAGTAAGTGTTTTTGTAAAGGGTAGTTGTTTATGAATATATATAATGATGTATTATAATGAAATCTGTATTTTGCGCTGAAACTTTGCAAAATTCTTAAATTTAACAACAGTGATTACTTATAGTTTTTAATCATCTGTCACCTTATATGAGCACAGAAAATCAGCTTTAATAATAACTGAATGCATGTGATCACTGCAATATTCATGATGAAATTTGCTGAGAAAAAAGCAATCTATTGATACTTCTAAGGTTTTCCTACAATTGACCCCTCCCTCCTCCTATTAAAAATGGTGATATCATTATCTGTTACTTAGGCATTAGTAGACCAACATATCAGATATACATATTTTTAAATCATCCAGTGGTATAAAATACTTGAGATCTCCTCATAAGAGTTACTTCAAGACAAAATATTGTAAAAATGGAAGTTAGCAAAAATAAATATGTCTTTATAAAGTCTGTTGATATTTACTGATTGCAGTTTGTGATAACTTGTTTGTATTAGAGCCCTAATTACAGCGCGGTTGTTGTAAAGGTTTTTCATGAGGATCAATGGTTGTACTGTATTTAGCTCAATACTCTATCTTTGAAAATGTATTGATCACAATTTCACTTAGTAATTTACACCTCTAACCCCCAGAGTTTGTGCGGCTGCATTTGGTTAGAGAATACGTTCCTACATCTTATCTCTGGGAATTCTTTGGGTTTTTGTATCAGGCAGCGCATAGAGCAAGTCCTGCATGAGCGGTCTGTTAATTATTTCAAACGCAATTTAGTCTGTTTACATATGCGCCGCAGCCGCATTGTATTTTAGTAAGTTTTTGGCTATCTCTAAATATGAAGGGGTCTAAAACCTAATGTACTTCTTTTGTTAACTCTCATTCATGACCTAGGAATTGTGTAACTTTTGACTGACATACTACTTTATAGTGTTTCGTTTAACCTCAAAATTGTTTGAATTGTGTTGTTCCAGCAGATATTGATATTAACTGCAACTGAAAAAATCTCGAGCGCACAACTGTCGCATATATCGATAATCTTAACTAACTCCTTGCCCATGGTTTCATTCTTGTACTGTGTATTAGGATACATGTATACACCATTCACAGCCTGGCTGCCACAGGGTGACTTCAATATTTCCTTAAACAACACATGTCAATATTCCTTTACTTTAAGAAACTAGGAAAAGATGTAGGTCTCAAATTTTGCGCCCTGGTTTAGGCGAGTTGATACTTGGTAAAGAATTGTGAAAATTTTCTTAACTTACAGTAGTGGTGCCAATAAATTACGTTCCGGAGATAAAAATGTTTATCCATGTGATGCTGTTGCAAAATATCCGCATCATAAGTTTATCCATCAGTTGCAGGCGAAGTAAATACACGAGTAACTATTTTCCCCCCTGCAGTATTCCGCCGCAAAGGTTAGAGGAGTTCATTTTCGTAACCATGGTTATGGACACACCTCCGTCACACCTCCTTATTGCTCCAATGAGAGTTTGCGTTCAGCTTTCCCAGAATGCCCGGGCAATCATCTACCCAGAAGTCTAACTTTACTTCGAAGGTTTCCTGTAAATCGCATATGCTTTATATTTCCTCTTCTGTTAGCCGTAAAAAGTATATTTTGTATTGGAGATCGTGTGCTAGCCTTTCGTAGGATGGAGTTTTCTCTTGCAAGTCTTAACGACCGATTTTAACTCATTCAGAAGAGGTAAGTGCAAAGTAGTTCGCAGCTTGGTCAGCGAGGAGTCGTATGTAAATTATTCCTTCGTTGCCTTGGTCAGATAGCCTCTCTCACTTCTCGTTTCTTTTTGTCACTGACGCGTATTGATAAAAAGTGTTAATGACGATGAAAAAATTCATGTTTAAATAATTTGCCTTCGATATTTATTTGTATGTTCATTCTCGGAACTGTCTTAAAGTAATCGTTCCATGTTTTCGCTATCGAGGGCTTCTAACAATTCAATAAAGAACAGAGTTATTGTGGAAACTGTGAGATAGCCGTTTTGAGGGGAGCTGTTGGGAAGTACAATGTAATACACACGCTACCCTACGAGTCAGTGGCACCGATGCATAAATCAGCCCATGTGGTGGAATGTCCACAGGCATTATCACTAAACATGTGTATGATGATTTATGGTTTTCAATCCTATTGAAATTTATCCAAGATAGTTCTTTTAGGGGAAAGATTTAGGATAACTGACTCAATTAAATATCAATTGTTTGCTCTAATACTCTCACAATTCTGCAAAAACATCGGGTTTTGTAATGCGTTATATCCTCCATACTAGGGGCTATACCATTTTTTTAACAGTTAGGAAAATCAACTTTGGGTTGCACTATGTCAAGGAAGTCTTGAGGTAAATACCGATTTGGTTCTTACTTGTTTGGTAGTTTTCCATACAGATGGTGGTTTCCACTAAAACGACCATAACCCATGCATTTCTGTTTTGAAAGGGACCAAATTAC